ATATAACATGGCCTATTCTACGGTTAATTTTTTATTTGCGTTTTCACAAAATTCAACGTGGATTTGAGGTAATTTCGGGTAGAAACTACAAAATTGCGCGAATTTGTGTCACATTTACGATCATAAAATGATGCAAATATATGAAAAACCACGACGAGCGATAAGCAGAACTCAGAACAAAATGCTCTCACACACTCGTTAAACGGAAGCCGGTAAGCATCTATTGACGTTTCTTTCTAGACATGAAAGTAAAAAAATAATTGTCATTTCTGCTTGACAGAAATTTGTCTATTTTGTGCAATGAACGGAAAAATAAATTTACTGAAATTAATTCGCGAGCGGTCCATCTTAGCGTCTCAGCGGACCAAATTGCAAAATTCGGACCGCAAAGAGAAGCAATCAGAATTATCCTTTTCATCGCGTACCAGTTCAGCCATGTAATAAATATATGCTATTTATCAGCATTTTCAGTGCCTGAGGCCACGGGTTTTCACTATACTGGCCGACCATAACCGGTAAAAAACGTATTTATCGTACGGGCGTTACCGTGACCGTGGGCAGAAACACTGTAGGAAAATCCGGACCGCTCAAAGAACCAATTGATTGCAAGAATTTAAGTTACTTTGCCCTCTTGGGAAAAAAAAAATAGTCCGTGTACCCCAATTGGTGTACGCATTCTTTCAAACATTTCGGGTAATGTCTTCAACTGTCTGTGTCAGATATTAGTTTTAAACTTCGAAACTCGACGGCCAATTTTTAAGTAATTCGAGTGATTTCGGAAACGCAAAGCCGTGAAAGGACAACTGAGAGCGCACTGTACAAATTTGCTTGGAGCTCGATAGGAGTTTGTATCGATTTGAAATTCGATCGAAACTCTGAACACCGGTCTTGTCTTTTCCTCAGAAGAGTTTCAGCAAGCTTGAAACCTCACCTGGTATCCATTTCTTTACGTCATTTGAGCGATTTTGGTTTTAAACGGTCTGAGTAATTACCATTTAACCGAGCATGCATAGTACAACTCACAGGTATACCCACTAACCGCTTTAGCCGGTGGTTAGAATGGTTTACACGTTGAGCATTATTTTATCCACCATATAATGATCGTAAGGAAACTTTTTCGATGGCTCAAACAGTCAAGCAGGCCTTTTAACCGATAAATTTTAAACGGTTTCCAGTCGAAGTCAATGTTAATGAAACGTGAATAAATCAAAAATACATATATATATCAAGTCAGGAGAGATCGAAAGTCTAGAAAAGACTACGCTAATCTTTGCCCACGCGGAAAGGCCAAGGTATGAGTTTAACACTAAGTGTTTTGCAGGACATCCTGTACAGGAAATGCGGATGAAGGTGGCGGTTTTCTGTGTATTAAAGACATGGAAACAGGATACAAAGTTAAACCTTTATTTTTTTACTATCAACCTACTCAACAGGATCCTATGGAGTATATACCAACTCTAAAATTGGGTAACCTGTGGTTAAAACAGCGAAAGCTCTGGGGAAGAGTAACTGTCAAGCACAGTTTCGATCAAGTGTCTCCAAGACGTGCGACGGAATGTTGTGAAGGCGCTTAAACTAGGAAATGTTGAACCCATTAATTGATTTTAAGGATGTTTTACCTTTGAAGTATCCTCGGCTATGGATTTTTTCAAGCTTTGGTTCGTGTAGTGACCCAGACGTCTTGTTTTATTTCGCGGTTCCGGTAAGGTACGTACAGCAAACATGTCGGCTTTAGCTGTTATTGGGCTTCATAGAATCCAAGCTTAAATTTCGCGATATTGATTTAAGCTTATTCGATCAAAGTTTACTTTTCGTCTTTAGAAATCTAGTCCTCACTTGTTTTAAGCAAAAAGAATGGTTTGTCTGTAAACTACAGCTGACTACAGCTCTAAGACTTTGTAACCGTTCCCTACCGCAGCTGTACATGAACTGAAAGCTCGATATTGTGTTAAATTTACCACGGCTAAATCTGATAGCTTCTTAATCGGTAGGTTCATAATTGCGATTTTCGCTTAAATTCAACATATAACATCTCAATACTTCTTTGTGCTTAAAATCTCCAGACGAACTCTGCAATGTTGACCTGGGTTAGAGCTAGATATTACATGTAACTCAAACAACTGGCTACAGAAAGAAACTGCTTTTAAATAACAGGAATAGTCAGACAGAATTTAAACTCAACTTAGGGGGCTTAATCTTTTATACCAATGAAATATGCTTGCAATGTTCTACAGTGTAGAGCAAAACAAGTGAAATATTTCAAAATCAAAACAACCTCCAAGTGATATACATGTACAGTATTGTAAGACTTGTCTGTTCAAAGTAACTCAGTGGATATTGTCACGGGAAAATTATATTAACTGTTTGGGTTTTGTTTTGAGTACTAAAATCACTGTGAGATATTTGTCCGGTAATTAAGCTCTTGTTATAGTTTTTCATTTAACTGAAGTCCAGAACATATAATTTTAATAATTTATGAGTTTTCAAGGTGGAAATTGTAATTACAGGTAACAACAAAGTCAATCTTCTAAAAAACAATTGACAATAATGTATGCAACATTATGCAGGTAGCATTCTCTATTTAAACAATGCTTGATGCAATCAGCATGTTGTATAATAAAGAAGAGCTAAGCTTTTCTGTTGCTTTCATTTCTCTGCAGACTATGAGTTACTATCCATGGACGGAAGTCTTGCAAGGGCTTTATACACTTTTCAGTCTGACAATCCCAATGAACTCTCTGTTTCGGAGGGAAGCATCATAAAGATTACACAGTATATTGACAAGCATTGGTTGGAAGCCAGTTATCAAGGAAAAACAGGCCTGTTTCCTGTTACCTATGCTGAGAGGATAAAAAATGAACCACAGTTTCAAAAGGATTCCCATATCATGCCTTCTCATTATGAGGGATTGCATAAAAACTTACTGTCCAATTGGCAGCCTGGTGAAAGCTGTGAATTGTCTAGAAATGATAATTCCTTAGCCCAACACAGTCCTAGTAATGATGCATATTTTGTGGAGACTGCCTTTGCTTTTTCTGGTAGAAATGACAGTGAGCTTACATTTCCTTCTGGAGCACTGATAGAGGTAATGAAAGATGTCGATGAAGACTGGCTGGAAGGGTCATTCAATGGCAGGACAGGGCTATTTCCCAAGAGTTATCTGAAGTCTTCTGAGAGACCATGTGCCCGTGCTGTATACCCCTTTGTTGGAGAAAGTGCGGGAGAGTTGACTTTTCGTGAGGGTGACTGTATCTTTCTCCGGAGGCGTTTGAATTCGCAATGGATGGAAGGAGAAATTAATGGCACTGTGGGGCTTTTCCCGTCTAGCTTTGTTGCTGTTGAGGTTGAATTGCCATCAGAACAAAATGCATTTGCAAATGGAGATTTTAGTTTTGTGGACTCTCCTCCTAAACATGGAGCCCAGAATAGCTGTGTTGCACCAAAAGTAAAATGGAAAAGAGGTATGAAGGGGAAGGCACTGTTTCATTTTACGGCATTATATTCAGGAGATCTGGAGTTGAATGCAGGAGATGTTGTAACTGTCCTTGAAGTTGATGATGATAACTGGATCGAGGGTCGGTTAGCTAGTGGAATACGTGGGTCATGCCCTGCGGCATATCTGGAACCTCTATTTGATATGAGCCAACAATTTGAAAGTAGACCACTGAAGTCTAGTGCTCAACGACTTGCATTAGATGGAAGTTTTTCTGGTATTTTTGACGACCCTGGCTACATAAACATATCACAAATGCGTAGCTCTGCTCAGCAGACTAGTGACTTTGTTGACTCTTACTCAGTGAAAGGTGATACCAACAAATCTCTTTTAGACTCTTCATTCACACAGGATCCAACACCTGCAATTATTGCACTGCCATCTGACATGGCCACAACTCAAAAAAACACTCCAGGAACTAAACCGTTGCTTACACCAAAGCCAGGACCAACAAGTAAAAAGCAGTCACCAAGTTATTCAGTGAGATACCTAGGGGGTGAGGAACACTCTGCACCCAAAAGTTCCCAAACCGCTCTTAGTCCTTCGATTTCCGTCCAATCACTACCTTGTGGAAGTGCCTCTAGTTCAAATACTCTAGTTTCTGTACAATCTGAGACACCAAGTAAACGCTTTCAACAGCCGCGATATTTTAAGGACTCCACTGGAACTTGGCCAGGTAAAAGAGCAGGGATCCATGGACATGTAAATGATGAAAATAAAAACAAAAGGAACCTTATTGATGACGATGATTTGTTATCGGGCAACTGCACGTCTCTGCCGACTCCATTGGTTCCACTTCCTCAAGCAAGGATAGATGATAGAAGTAGTGAATCAAGTGCATCAGAAGATTCTCCAATCACACCCAGGCGACCAGCACCCCCACCCCCTAAACGGGACAGCAGCAGCAAGAATCAGCATGTCCGCAGCCAAACTCTTCCTGGAACGAGATCAAAGGATCTTGTACAAGGTGACTTTAGTAGGGAGGTACATGTTTCAATATCAAAAGCAAAGGATCACCAACAGTTGGACGTGAAAGACGTGAAACAGAATGGGGCGCCACATTCTCTGCGCCCAATAGACAGTAAAATGGATTCTTCTCAGTCTCCTAAGTGGTCACCTAAGACAAGGGCTGGCGATCATGATGGCCCAAAATCAAAACCTCTTTCTAGACCACGTTCTGTGCATTGGAAAGACAAGGATTCTCTTAATGCAGTGGACAAGGTAACCAGCTTCATAATGATAAGTCCACTGCAAAAATTTGTGGATTATTTTACATGTAGCTGATAAGGCATGAACTTGTGCACCTATTGGGCGAGCAATATTTTAGTGGGGGCAGTTGAAAACTGAAATGTACTGGTGCGCTGGGCAACTGGATTTCAATTTTGTTTTCCTGCCCTGCCGTTGGAAAGTGCGGATTTGCCAGGGAGCTAAACATGCCGTGTAGACATTAGAGAACTACTTTATTTGTGCTTTTAATCTGATGGAACTCAAACCTTGCAACATGATAGACAATCCAAATCCAAAGAAAGGTGTACTTTTTTGTTTTCTTTTATTCAAATTGATTCTAGTGGGAAAATGAAGTCATCAAACTAACAGCAAAATTTTATTTTCACTTTCTGTCTAAACTAATGCATGATGATAATTTTGAAAGAATAAAATTAATAGGTATATGCTGAGATGAATTCAATTGTGAAGAAATATTTTTGAAGGGTTTTATTATACATGCAATTACATGTTGAAATTTGCCAAATTTCTAAAACCAGTACTGTAACAAACTGGCAGAAAGTTCAAAATTCAAATATTCGACATATCTATTCAATTTATAGAACTATTTTTTTTTTCATATTTGAATTTATCTCAATATATCCTTTCAAAATCATACATTAGCGTAGTCCGGAAGTGAAAAGAAAATTCTCTTGTTACATGTACATGTACATGTAGTTTGGTGTCATCATTTTCCCATGAAAGGCCCTTAGAATAAAATAAAACAAAAATACTGTACGTTTGTTTTTGGATTTTTGAATTGTCAATCCTGTTGCTAAGTTTGAGTTCCATTGGATCAAGAACACAAAAGAAGTTCCCTAATTTCTGTTTCTGATGGACAGCTGACTCTGCATGTAAGCATAACTTGATGATTCTGAGAGTGGATGGCAACTGGAAGACTTGTTGGTTTGTGGGTGAATTACTTTCAACAGCAGCAAAGTTCACTCATAGCAAGCATGCTCAGCTGTGGTGTCGCAAATTATGGCCCTTAATGGCAGCCTTAAAGTTCTCCTCTGTTGGTTGGTACTAGTACTGTAAAATAATTCAATCTTACTAACAAACATGTAGCTAGTAAGAGTTGATACTGTAACTGATTGTTTTGTTGAATGTGTAGAGTCCATTGGAGCTGAGACGTTCAAACAGTCTAGAGCAGATAAGCGAGATTAAGTCCAGCCATATTGCAAGTGCTACTGGCAGTGACAAACTAAGTAATGTACAAGTGCAATCAGTGACCAAAGGTACCTTTTTAAAAGAAATGTCTTCCATAATAATTATTACTGGGGTCAGTATGATCTACACCGTACATTATACATACAGTATATGTATGTACAGCATTTACTGAATTGAGATTTGATCAAAAAATTCACCGGCAGTTCAGTAGGTTAAAGAACTGTCAAGATTGACATAACATAACATAAAACCTTTATTTCAACACGATAAAAATTAAAGCTACAAAGCTTGTGGGGGGCTGTGTATACTACTGAATTACAATACATTAATGAAAATAATAATTACATACACATAAAATACTAAATACAGAGCTAAGATCAAAGTATCAATCAAGGCTTAAAACATTAAATAAATTCCATTATATATTAAATAAGTTTCTAAAAGTACATGTAATCACAATCTCTATATCTGGATGTGGAGGCAGTTAACTGTGGAAAAGAAAGTCTTTAAAATAGTCCTTGGTAATAAGTACATGTAGTCTTTTAATTTGACCACAATTTGACTACAA